ATAGCTGAGAATTTCTGCTAAACATCCAGGTGTTTGCAGGCAAAAAGAAATAAAGTCACTTTTATTGCTGAAAATAAATCATCAGCAAAACCGCTGCTGAAGGAAACTGGACCATCCCTATTCAGCTAATGGCAGAAACAAGAATCTCTAAATAATCACTCTACTGCCAAAATCAGTACTAGCAGAATCATCCACCTTAATAGCCGCAATGTTTCACAATCGATTCATCACGGAAAAGCCAAAGTCTGCTTTGTATATTCAGGTTTCTTTTAAATCTTTTTTTGGTCTCCCCTCACCTTTCTCAACTGTGTATATGTGTGTCATGTTTCATTGACCTTTATCGCATTTTAGCAGCTTAAAAAAATCTAACTTTTTCTTTATCTCAAGAAAACCTGTTTAAATTGGATTTTTTTTTCAAAATATTAATATATTTGGGCTGACAAAAGGTCTCCATGAAAGAAGGGCTCCTTTTTTATATTAACTTTGTTGCAACCAACTGAGGGAAGGGTTGAGTAAAGAAAGGAAGTCAATTCATTGCTCCTCATGCAGGAACATATCCATTTGTGAGTATCCCATTCAGGACTGTAATTAATAAGGGATGCTTGCCTGGGGTCCAGTTGTAACAGTAACCCCAGGTTATCGAGTATGAAATAAGCACCTTTGGACTTCATCTAATGTTTCCCAAAACTTATATATCAAAACATGCTTTGTTTTAACTGTTTAATTTAGTGAACAATATAATGTGCTGTACATTATTCTTTTGCTGGATAATACTGGGTCCCCATGTCAGTTAGCACAGTATACTACAAGCAGCAGAAAAATATGGGGTGATATTTAAAACAACCCAGGAGGAAATATTAGTAAAATAAGCAAACAATAGAGACTGGTTTCCAACTCATCTAGTACACTTCAAAAAGTGCCATTATGACTAATGTGTTAATTTCCAAACACAACAGGTTTATTACTGGATTTTCTAATGTGTAATGTCTGTTTTCTGGTCAATATTGGCCTATTAACAAAAGGGAAAAAATGGTGATTTTAAAAATGAGTAACTGTTGAGCAAGTGATTTCATTAGGGGTAAAAGAAAGTTTGTAAACTTCTATTGTAGAGATAGGATTTAATGATAAGACTCTGAGGTATGCTCTGATACAACTGTGATCCCGGTAGTCATGTGCTAGGAGTCTTCAGGAAGGCAGGAACTGGAGCAGCTTGGAGCACAGATGTCGAAGAACCTCCTGCATCAAGTGCAAATAAATAACTCTTTGAACAAACATTTTGGGGTCTGGCCTATGTTTATCTGAAAGGGAACCCTTAATAGTACAACTATAATCTCTCTCACATTCTCTGCATATACTACATTTTTTCACAGATCATGCATTCCTTTTTGATGGTTGTTTCTTGGTTTGACTAACAAATAAAACAGCTAACAGATAGGCAGAAGGTTCCTATGGACAGCAATGAGATTAACAGACATTCTAATCTCTTTGAAGGGTTTAGGTGAGCGAGGCTAGAGGAGAACTCTTCGCTCATCTTCACCATGGTGTTGAGAGACCACTTGCCTTCACCTGAATGGGGAGAAGGGGTTTAAATGTCTCATTGAAAGACATTATCTCTGAAATTCCAGCAATTTGTTATGTGCCTTCCTTGGTCAGGCACTTACCTCTCTGGAAGTGGGCTTTGATCATGATTTTCTGACTCATGGGCAAGAGGGCTCTATCAAATGGCTGGTACATTATATGAAAAAAGGAAATGTAAGAATACGAACCAATCATAATGTTTCTGTGATAACATTTCTTTACTGAATCTCGAGCAACCTGTGAGCTAGTTGGTGTCTTCACAGCCCAGCTGGGATTGTGAATTTTAAAGTCCGATATCATTCAACAGGAGGCCACAAACCACCAATTTACCAGCCAGGCTCTGCACAATTGCAGAAATCATTGCAATGATTTCTGCAGTGACGTGATGCAAAGAATATTTTAGGGATGAATGGAGGAGGATGCCCTCCCCCTCAATACGTAAAGGATGTGACAAGTTTAGGAGAACATGACGGAGACTATTTATGGTGTGGGGCATGTGAAAGGAATCAACCAATTTACGAGAAGGACACACAGGTGTTCTAGACCCTTGCAAGAAAGCAGCAGCTCTATATGGGGCAGAAAGTAGTAGTTTAAAAAAAATGTGGTACAAATGCTAAAAACATTTGAAACAAACACTGTGGTTCAGTGAGATCAGTATGGTTATGCAAATTATCTCATACACTGTATAGAAGAATAAAAAATGAAGTTAAAAAAAAGTCCCTTGGGTCACTTCACTGTGTCTCAATGAGCGCTACTCTTACACTGAAAGCAAAAACAATCCTCAGATAAAGCTGGTGGACTCCCACCCTGGGGACAAACTGCTGCCAATGCGTCTCAGAGATCTGGAAGACTGGTGGAAACTGGAGCATTGCATTGAACTTTTGTGTATTGTATGCACTGTAGTCTTCAAGTTTTCTGTGATTTATACAATATTTTACACGATGGTGTCTATAGACATGGAGATTCTGCTCAACCATATTGTGCACTTAATGAGGGTACAGTGCCATTTGGTGATATTTGTTTAGTCATACCTATTGTCAGATAGCAAAGAGAAAATGCTAACCATATATCTGAAAGTGAAAAGACACGACTGAAATGATCACTACCACAAATACAGACTTTTAGATAAAGTAAATGGTAATTCAGAATGAATCACAGGTTGAGGCACCAAACTCTGGCTGAGAAAGGATAGGAATGTTTCTCCTGAACTGCACAGGAATGGAGGCTATAGTAGGGCCAAAACGGAAGGTGCTATGGTACCCAACATACTGCTGTGCTCCAAATAAATGACGTTTGGAGCTACAGTTTGCATCTGTTATCCATCATTGTGCAAAGACAAATCTCATAGGGAGAATGCATACGAGCAAATGTGAGGCATGAACTGCAAGAACCTAGAGTTGCCTCTGGTGACTATATTCATTGAAATAAGTGGGAAAAGCAAGTAAATATCCTACAAGTATGGCATATCTGGAATACTGTAAATATTGATAAGGGCAGGGCAGTACACATTGTTTATATGGATTTTAGTAAAGCCTTTGGCAAGGTACTGAATGGTAGACATATTAATAAAGTCAGATCACATGGGATTCAGGGTGAGCTTGCCAATTGGATACAAAATTGGCTTAATGGTAGGAGACAGAGGGTGGTGGTGGAGAGATGTTTTTCAGACTGGAGGCCTGTGACCAGCATTGTTCCACAGGGATCAGTAGTGAGTCCAGTTTTGTTTGTCATTTATAGAAATGATTTAGATGAGAATATCGTAAGTTTGCAGGTGATACCAAAGTAGGTGGTACAGTGGACAGTGTAAAAGTTACCCAAGATTGCAAACAGATCATGGTCAATAAGGTCAATGGGCTGAGGGGAGGCGGATGGAGTTTAATTTGAATAAATGTGAGGTAATGTATTATGGTAAAACAAGCAAGAGCAGAACTTATACAATTAAAAGGAGGGTCTTGCTTAGTGTTGTAGAACAGAGCCACCTAGGAATTTAGGTACATAATTCTTTGAAATTTGCATGACAGGTAGACAGGGTAGTTAAGGCATTTAGCATGCTTTCCTTCATTGCTCAGACCTTTGAGTATAGGAATAGGAACTTCATGCTGAGATGGTTAGGCCTCTTCTGGAGTACTGTGTGCAGTTCTGGTCACCCAGCTATAGGAAGGGGGATATTATTAAACCGGAGAGAGTTCAGAAAAGATATACCAAGATGTTGCCGAGAATGGAAGGTTTGAGTTACAAAAATAGGCTGGGAATTTTTTCACTGGAGGTTGAGGGGTGACATTATGGAGGTTTATAATATCATGAAGGGCATAGATAAGGTGAAGAGCAAGGGTCATTTCCCTAGAGTCGGAGAGTTCAAAGCAAGGGTATTTTTAAGGTGAGAGGAGAAAGTTTTAAAACAACTTTTTTACACAGAAAGTGGTTCGTGTGTGGAATGAACTGCCAGAGGAAGTAATGGATGCATTACAATGAGAACATTTAAATAACATTTGGATAAGTATATGAACAGGAAAGGTTTGGAGGGATGTGGACCAAACACAGGCAAGTGGGACTAGTTTAGTTTGGGAACATAATTGGCATGGGCTAGTTGGACCAATGGGTCTGTTTTCATGCTGCAAGATGCAATCCAATTAATTGGTATCCATGTCACTGACAGTTTTTTTTTCCCAATACCCAATCATACATTTGTAATACTTCTAAACAGAGCCACAGAGGTTTCAGGGAAGAAGACTGATGTTGCTGCTGCTGCATCATTGTTAGACTTATACTGGATCGTTTCCATCAACTGCAGTTCACCGGCTGGTAATGCAGTTACCGACTACAGCTAGTTATTCAACTTAGAGAGACCTGGGAGCACTAAAACACATTGAACACTGAAAAGTTCACCACATGCAAAAGGCAAACGTGTCAATTAAGTATGCAAATTGCCACCATGAAATGATATCCACTTTGATCGCTTTTACTGATTGGTAGTCTACAATTTATTCACTACAGAGAAAAGTGCATGGAACATGTTGAAAAAATATTTACATTGCTAGCTCCTAACATGTTCTCTGTGGGTGCCTGCGTTAACTCTGCAGTATTACAGCAATGAATGGTGACCTTTACTGCTGCTTGGAGGAGCCATTTACATTGTTGGAAGAATAATCTATGATGATAAGCGAACAGGAGGGAGCGTTTGCAACAAACTACCCAACCAATTAAAAGGAATTCCCCAAAGAACGATCATTCTGAAATGGTTTAGACAACTCAATCTGACCCACTGGCATAACTGACCCACAGATTTAAAAAAAATGTCCAAATCTAATCCACAAAGGTTTGATTTCAAACCTGCTGATAAAGACTGTAATCAGTTAACTTATGTTTAAAACAAAAGTTAGTTGATGAAATCTGATCAGTTTCTTTTTGTATCTTTTGTACAGATCGATGGGGAATAAATGATTTAATAGAAGCAGCCCAAACCCCTCCTCGTACACAGACGACATGACCACAACGGCTGAAATACACTTACCCCTGGTGGCTCCCGTTGGAGTATTTCTTTGACTTTTTCTTTCCTGGTGTTGAGCTGAAGCCACACTGGACAAGTCCTGATGAGTTTATCTGGGATGCTGATACCTGGAAACGGTAACGTCGGCGAAGGGATAGTGGCTGTGGGAGGTTGACCACATTCATCTTTCGCCTCTAGCAGTGAACTAAAGGGACACAGAACGTAAGCTCGCTGCATTATAGATAGAGTTTATGTGGCGATGGGACCGGTCACATCAGCACACTAAAACGGTGTTGACAGTTCGATTCTTTGATACAACTGCGCGGGTGAAGTCAGACTTTGCAAAGTTGAATTTGCACGTTAATACACAAATATGTAAAATGCATTAGGAGAAAGCTCCTGGGATAGCAAGATGCTTCATTTCTCTTTGTTAAAAAAAAGCTATGACCAGTCTGTTAAATGTTAAGCTACATACCCTGGCATGTCTCCAATTTCCACTTCTTGCCCAGATGTTCTCTCCATCATCGCTTCCCTCGATCAGCTCCACTGTGCAGACCCATTTAAAGAAATGTGCTGACTTCAGCACTCTCGTTTCCAAACTAAACAAGAACTCCACATTTCAATCAGAAGAATAACGTAGTTAGCCTCTCAGTCAGAAAGATGGCGTTGGATTGTGCAGACTTTGAACACTAATAGACGTAGAAGTACAGGAAGGCGTGTGCTGTGGGTTTTCTTTCTCTGACTTCCTGTATTCTGTGAACAAACGGGGGATTCTGAGGAAGAAGCAGTTCCAAATGGTCAAGCTTTCAGTATTACTAACTTAAAGCTTTCCCTGGCTCGGAATTTTACACAAAATGTGGGAGGAGCACTGACATCATCTGGCAAGTTTTAGAGCCAAATCCCTTTCCAATCTGGCAGAAGCGTCCCAAGTTAAATAAGAAAATGTGTTTTTTTTTGGTTTGCAGATGGGGCCACATTGCTATGACTATTCTGGTGTCATTCAGCCTTTAAGAGTGAGTAAGCCTTCCTTCCTTATCCACACCCCCTCCTCCACCCCCACCCCCACTCCCACCCTCATACACGACAAACAGTTCTTTTCCTAAATAAGACCAGACCGTCGCTAAACTTCCAGCATGTTCCAATCAAACCCAGGCACTGGAAGTCTGTAAAGTTTTGAAACTGCCTAATTTGATTCAGCGACGTAGAAAAGAGAGCTGCATCAGCACATTTCCTAAGAACAAACCCAAACAAAGTTTGTGTGGTGAGACAAAAGGTTTTCAAAACACGTTAGGAGATAAAGTGATCGGCTACAAAATATTATGAGCAGAAAGAATGTGATTTACTTTAAAAATAGAGCAGATCTTTTGGCGTCTTGGATGATGGAAACTAAGTATCCTTTACATAAGCAGCTCCAGGCAACATCTGTTTCCAGGAGTAGCAGTTGAATTCCTTAAACGCTGCGCAAAAGGAACCTCAGACTTCGCTTTGTTATTATTAAACCTCAGCAGCTTGGACATAAATAAAGGAACTAATTTAAACCTTCTCTCTAAAGAAATGGGTCACTCTGATTTGTGATCATTAAATGAATAAATACTGATTCATTTTTATTTTTGTTCACTCCATGCAAAGTTAATATTAAAATTCTGAGAGCATATTTTACAAGTCTTCAAATTGATTTTTGACAGTAACTGCAATTATAAAGTTCAGAAATATCCTTCTTTTTCACTATGTGTAAAATTAGTATTGACCACAAAAGAGAGATCACCGGCTGCAACTATGCTTTCAAAACAAAGCTAAATCAATTCTACAGTGAACTGGAACTCCAGCCCTCACATTAGAGTTGTAGAGATCTACAGCTCAGAAAAAGGACCCTTAGAACATTCTGTACTTGCTGGTCAACAACAGCCACCTAACTATTCTAATCCCATGTTCCAGCACTTGGCCCATAGCCTTGTATGCCTTGGCATCGTAGGTGCACTTCTAAATACTACTTAAATGTTGTGAGGGTTTCTGTCTCTACCACTCTTATAGGCCGTCAGTTCCAGATTCCTACTAACCTCCAGAGAAAAAAAAATCCTCATATCTTCTCTAAACCTTCTGCCCCTAACTTAAAGCTATGTCCCCTGGTCATTGATCCCTCCATCAAAGGGGAAAGTTCCTTCCTGTCTATCCTGTCCATGCCCCTCATAATTTCATACATCTCCATCATGTCCCCTCTCAATCACCTTTGCCCTGAGGAAAACAACCCCAGTCTATCAAACTTTCTTCAGAATTGAAACTCCCCGGACCAAGCGACATCCTCGTAAATCTCCTCTGCATCCTCTCCAGTGCTATCACATCCCTCCAATAATGTGGAGTCCCAAACTGCATACAATACAATTTACCTGTGACCTGAACAACATTTTACACAGTTCCAGTATAACCTCCCTGGTCTTAAACTCTATGACTCAACTAATAAAGGCAAGTTTATGATATGCCTTCTTAACCACTTTATCCACCTGTTCTGATACCTTAAGGGACTGGTGTACACACATGGCAAGGTCCTTCTGATCCTCGGTGCCTCCCAGGGTCCTGCTGTTCATCATGTATTCCCTTGCCTTGTTTGTTTTGTCCAAGTGCATCATCTCACGCCTATCTCTTTGCCACTCATCAGCCCATCTGACTAGTTTTTGTCCATGACTGTCATAATCTGTAACAACATTTGAACTGACCTGTGTCATTTGTATGGGTGGAGAGTGGAGAATTTGTGCGAAAAGGGTGTGCATTTTTCACCTGCTGCCTGGACATTTATCTGGACTTAAACATTTTTATTCAACCTGTTCAGATATGTTATAACACAACTCTGCTGTAGGTGGGACTTAAACCTGGACCTTCTGGCCCAGAGGTATGGACACTACGTCTGCACCACCAGGCACCTATCACTTTGAGCCTCCTTGCTATAGAACAGACAATTATAGAAACCAATTGCAATCAACGAAGATGAAAATTCGGCAGTTTCTATATTATAGCCATTTTACACTCAGAAGGCAATTTGAGAAACTATCTTGACGTAAGTCCTGCTAATGAACAGGGTAGGAAGTCTGTCCCTAAGCCTGGTGGTGAAAAAATAACTATCAAATTATCAACACGTTTTTTTTCAGTGACTCCTGTTTTTAGTCAAAGTTCTGTTTTTACTGCAATGAGACACAGATTCAAACTTAAAAGAGGAAAGGTGAATACTGAGATAACAAGGTGTAGAGCTGGATGAACACAGCAGGCCAAGCAGCATCAGAGGAGCAGGAAGGCTGACGTTTCGGGCCTAGATTGTGCCAACATGGTCACAATTCGATCGTTCACTTCTCAAACATTATTCTGAAAGAAAGGGCATCAAAGTCTTAAGCTGAGTCCTCTGACTGTTTCAACCTAGTTTTGTTCCCTGGTTAGCTTGGCCGTCCAGTTGCCTTTCAACCAATCGTGGCTGTTGCTCATTTGAGATGTGAATTGAACCTGGTGCTGGACAGGGCTCTTGTTGTACGGGAGGCCTGGGTTCAAGACCTACTCGCTCCAGAAGTGTGCAATAACATCTCTGAACAGGCTATTTAGAAAATGTCTAAACTACTACTGGTTGTTCTCCCCAACAATAGCACAGTATCCTAGAGTCATAGAGTATAGAAACTGACCTTTCAGTCCAAACAGACCATGCCGAATATAGTCCCAAACTAAACTAGTCCCACCTGTCTGCTCTTGGCCCATATCCCTCCAAACCTTTCCTATTCATAGAGTCATATGTACTGATCCAAATCTCTTCTAAATGTTGAAATTGTATCCACATTCACCACTTCCTCAGGAAGTTCATTCCACACGTGAACCACCCTCTGTGTAAATAATTTGCCCCTCATGTCTTTTTAAAATCTCTCTCCTCTCACCTTAAAAATGTGCCCCCAGGCTTGAAATACCCCATCCTAGGGAATGGGAGGAATGGGCAACAAATGCTCGCCTTGCCAATGATGCCAGTGAATACTGTGCAGCTTTTAGTTCTGAATGTACGTTGTCTCATTAGTCAATGGCAGGCAAAAGGCCCATGAGTTTTCCAACCTGGATTAGCAACTTGCCTTGCTAATGGTAGTTAGGGAGGGAGGGTTTTCTTTAGTTTGTGGGATGTGGGCATCATTGGCAAGGCTAGCATTTGTTGCCCATTCCTACCATTCCCTAGGATGGGGTATTTCAAGCCTGGGGGCACATTTTTAAGGTGAGAGGAGAGAGATTTTAAACAGACATGAGGGTCAAATTATTTACACAGAGGGTGGTTCACATGTGGAATGAACTTCCTGAGGAAGTGGTGAATGTGGATACAATTTCAACATTTAGAAGAGATTTGGATCAGTACATATGACTCTATGAATAGGAAAGGTTTGGAGGGATATGGGCCAAGAGCAGACAGGTGGGACTAGTTTAGTTTGGGACTATATTCGGCATGGTCTGTTTGGACTGAAAGGTCAGTTTCTATACTCTATGACTCTAGGATACTGTGCTATTGTTGGGGAGAACAACCAGTAGTAGTTTAGACATTTTCTAAATAGCCTGTTCAGAGATGTTATTGCACACTTCTGGAGCGAGTAGGTCTTGAACCCAGGCCTCCCGTACAACAAGAGCCCTGTCCAGCACCAGGTTCAATTCACATCTCAAATGAGCAACAGCCACGATTGGTTGAAAGGCAACTGGACGGCCAAGCTAACCAGGGAACAAAACTAGGTTGAAACAGTCAGAGGACTCAGCTTAAAACTTTGATGCCCTTTCTTTCAGAATAATGTTTGAGAAGTGAACGATCAAATTGTGACCATGTTGGCACAGAGCTGAGAGGATCGTGCAGATCGCCTGTAGGAGGCGTGCTGCATTGATGCAAAGTGTGACTTCTATCTCTCTTCTGTGGAATATGTAGCAAGATCTGTAATACAAGATCCCTGATCAACAGAGACAGTAAGAACTGCCGATGCTGGAGTCAGAGATAACACAGTGTGGAGCTGAAGGAACACAGCAGGCTGGGCAGCATCAGGGGAGCAGGAAAGCTGACGTTTCGGGTCGGGACAGCTTTGATTGAAGGTCAAATAGAATCAAAAAGTTACAGAGTTTTTACAGCATGAAAAGAGACCATTTGGCCCATCATGCCATTGAGCATCCATCTATTTTAATCCAATGTTTTGGCAGTTGGCCTGTTCCTTGTATGTTATGGCATTTTAAGTGCTCATCTAAATAGCCTTTAAATTTCCTGAGGTTTCCTGCCTCTACCACCCTTTTAGATAGTGAGTTCCTGATACCCACAGTTGCTGGGGGAATTTATTTTTCTCAAATCCCCTCTAAATTTCCTGCTCCTTAACTTAAAACTGTGTCCACTGGCTATCGGCCTCTCTACTAAGGGTAAACAAAGGTTTCTCCCTATCTGGCCTGCCTATGTCACTTAGAACTCTGCACACCTCAGTCGGATCTCCCTTCAGCCTTCAGTGCATTTTCCATTTCAGAGGACCAGCCTGCCTTTAGGAAGGGCAGGCTAGATGTGCTGTGTAGTTTGTGACCAATGCTTTTGGGCTCCCCTCCAGAGCACAGATGCAACTGACAAT